AAAGAGAGAGATTTCATTTGGTTTATTAGCTGCGAGCGCACTCTCTACACACATTCTAAACACTGAAATAGAAGGCTTGACTTGAGAAATTTCCACTCTTGTGTTTATTGCGAGCAGACTTTCACACACTTCTAAAACAAACTGAATAGAAAAGCTTGCACTTAGAAGAAATTTTTTCACTCTTGCTGTTTATTATGAGAGCCAGGCAACTCCTCAACACATTCTAAAACAACTGAAAGAAGGCCTTGCACTTAGAAGAAATTTTCACTCTTGTGTTTAATTACTGCAGAGCCAAGCATTCACCACATTCTAAAAAAACTGAATAGCGGCCCGATCATCGCGCGGCACTGCGGTAAGGGCGGCACGGCGCCTGAGCCTGCACGTCGGGGCTGACTGTCAGTGCTCATATATGTTTTGCTCAGCTTACACGTATGCAATGGACATGTTCCTTTTTTCTTAAAGCGGTTGCAATAGTTTTGACGCAAGGTTAGTTTAACGTATATGGAGATCAATTAGTTTTTTTAAGAGAACTTATTTACTTTAGGTCAAGGATCCCACAAGGAGAGGATACTGCGAAATTAGAATCTTCGAATGCCGTGTATTTATTTAATCGGGTTGTTTTCTAGTATGAACGCGTAATACTATAGCTGGCTGTGTGTATGAACAGGGGTGTGGTCCGGGTATTCCAGTCTTGCGGCCCTCGTTCTGCTGGCACGGTACAGACTGGTATTTCTATATGAAACATGTATATTATAACCCAAATTGAGCCTTCACATTGTCAATATCGTGGGACTGTTTCCAAGGTAGTGGGTGGTAAACACTAGGTTTCCGCAAGTTATGATTTCGTGTGGATTGGGCGTGAGTTGGGGTACTCGACTCAGTGCACTCTGAGCAACGGTGGGGTTTTTTTTTTTTCATTAACTATTCTCGGTGTAAGAACTACTTTGTAGGGAATATTTCTTACACCGTGCTATTCTCAAAGACAATTTCCTGATGTTTTTGTTTATTCAAAAAAGTAATTCGCTTGAAAATCAAGAGAAATTATTTGTTAATGTGATTAATTGTATTCCGAAGAATTCAATTTAGTTTCCTTAAGTAGTGGTGTAATCAGAATAGATTTCCTTGTGTAGGGTATGAAAACTAATAAAATATATTAATTAAATGGGCTTAATTTTGAATAGTTAAAAGGAAGAGTAGACTGGTCCGGACAATTTCCAGTCCGTAATAGTTAATGTTAATTTGTCTATTGTCTGGCTAACTAGTTTTGTATATGGTATGTCCTTTAACTAAAGTATTATATGTTAAGTCGAGCTAGAGATTTTTTTTCCATGCTAGTAAGCGGCATAATGATTCTATTACGGCCAAGCCTTGTTTTAACCTCCCATTTTCTAATGATGTTTTTAACTTTCTTCCTGTTTTGTCTGGAAGTAACTTACGTGGTCTTTTCTTGTAATCTAAGTCCCAGCAATAGTTCTTATTTATTTGAGTTCAGTCTTATACTTTTGACATAAATTAAATTATTCTTTGATTCTCTTACAATAATTAATGGGATGTTTCTTCTGAGAAAGAAGGAGTGTTTAAGACTGCATTCAAGAATCGTTATTAGTGTTTTCATTCAGCTCACACGGTATCAATATGGTCTCGTAGTGAGTAATTCTACTTTCTTAGAAATGTCCATGATTAACAGTAGAAGGCTTATTTCTGGGCTCATGATATACAACGGTTTCGATTTTGCTTCTGGCCGTGCCATCGGGCGTGCGGGTTGGAGACTTTTGTTTATTTTCAGTTTTTCCCCCCTCACAGTTCACGCTGGGAGGCGGGAAATTTGTTTGTTTTGTGGGGTACTTATGTATAGACTGAGCGATTTTGCTTGTGCAGTTTAGGGGGGCTTTGTTGCTTACATATAAAACTACTTCTCACTATAATACTATAATTCATTAGGTTTGTTGTTTTTAGACATTTTTAATTTTTAAGTGGGGATTTGAAATTGTTTATTATTATCTAATTTTTTTGTCTCACAGAGCATTCAACTTATAATAATTATATTTACAAACGCATCATTCATTCATACAACACACAAGCTTCACAACACAATATCACTTTTAAAAGAAGCAATGGGCGCGAACAGCGTAAGTTGTCGGACGCGCTAGGGGCGCTGCGGGCTTCTCGCCCACGCCGTCGCTCACGCCCCCTGGCATGTCTCTTGCAGGCATCGTGCGCACTGGACCCGCAGCTACGTCAACACCTCTCCCGCACAACCCGCACCTTCCGTGGGAACTTGGGCCGTGCTGGCAGTTCATGCATGAGGCGCTCTGCGCTTACAGTTCGCCGCCCACAGAAAACAACGTGACGGTGCTGGTGCAAGACGCCGGCGAGCACCAGCGGCGTAAGTCGCAGGCTCCGTTGCGGCGCAGTGCGCGCTCTGTAGTGAGCGCCTTCTCCTAACGCGTTCTCTTCTGCTGTAGGAACCTGCAACTGCGTTGGAGGAAATACGCATCAGCATGTGGCTCAGGGCAATCGCTCAACCAAACGCTACAGCGTTTGTCGGGTAACAATGTGGGGCGTGCAGGTGAAAGACGGCCAAGTAAGCTCTCGAAGGTGGCAGGAGAAAAGCTGTCCAAGGAAGTCATCCAGACCAAACAACGTCATCACCATCTTCGGTACGGTAAAGAACGACCACGCATCGTCATCTCGTGGCAGAGGCAGAACATGTCATCATCATACGAGGTGAAGCGTCAATCCTCAAGGTGCCGCAACAACTTCCGAAACCACGTGGCATAGCCTCTGCGGCAAACCTTCACTGGCGAGCCAGCAACGATTCTCCGACAGACGGCCTGGTGCAGAGGACCCCGAGCTGTTCACGTAGGCGTCATACTGTGGAGCCAACGAATGCCAGTAGCTCGGCGCCGCGAACAAGTAGCTCCCAGAAACAGCCTCGCTTCCCCAAGGCATCCAGATCTTCCGTCTTAACGTAACATTACCCCCCGGTTCTCATTTGCCAGGAACGGCGATTCCGACTCAGCTGCCGATCTAGCTCCAGCTGCAGCTTCCGACTCAGACTCCGACTCCAGCTCTAGCTCTAGCTCGCTCAGACTCGGACTCGGATCAAGCTCTAGTTCAGCTTAGCTCCGACGACGACGAGGTCAAAACAACAACAATGAAAACAACAAAACAGCACAAAGAAGAACAGCGGCAACAGAAACAACAAACGATGAGAAAACGACGACAGCAGCGCCTCAGCTCCAGCTCCGACTCTGACAGCTCCAGCTCCAGCAGCGACTCAGGACAAACGCTGCCTCCCAGCGAGCTCGACTTCCGATCCACTGCGATCGAGCATGAGTCTCCAAAGGCCGACATTCCAAGCTCAGCAAAGATCACAGAGCCCTCGGCGAGTGCTACATAAGCACACCAAGCTCAATCCGCAAGGGCGACTGTACTGCTTTCACCAGGTGGCGGTGCGCGAGTGCAGGAGCCCTGCAAGCCCACACCGAGTACGCAGAAAAGGGAGGTGAAGTCCACTTGCATCAAGAAGGGCCGCTCCGCCGAGTACTTCGAGTCCAAGCCTTTAAATAGGGTCCAGAACCTGGACTTCAGCCAGAAGCCTACGACTGAGCTCATTTGGTTGAACTTGCCTGTGTCCTGCGGACACTACTAGAGTCTGTGTTGTACAGTTGAGTTTGCCTATTAGCTCAATAAATTTTAATTGCAACGTACATGTTCCTCTATTTTGTATTCTATCCACTTCCTCAATTTGTTGTTCAATGGTTACCTTTCCCACTGTATGTTTACTGTGATGTTTTCGCCTATCGTAAATATTTTTGTAGCGCGAGTTTAGCCACTGGAGAAAGGAATCCTTACATAACTTATGATTGATTATTACTATTTGAGAAACTTTTAGCATGAAAGTAATATAGAAAAGTTGTTTAAAACTGAAGTATATTGCAAGTTTTCGAACTGTTTTTTAATTACTCCTTTTGTAAATATAATGGTTGTTAAGAGGTCTTATTGATAGTTTTTGATCATAAATCTTTTATCATAATGGAAAATGTTAATTGTTTATTTTGTCAATTTCTGTTACATTTTAACTTCATGTAGCAACAATTGTTGATATATTTTAGCCTTTTGCTTCTACAGCTTTAATATAACTAATGTCAATCACAACGTTTGCTAGTAGGACGTTTATAGCGCTGCCTGACATGGGTTGAACAAAAAGGAGTTTTCTAATTTGTTTCTTAGATATGTTTCTGTCTATTTCCCTGTTGGACCTTTGTGAAGTCACATTTTCATCTTTGCTAAAAATGCATATAAGGAATGAATTAGGAATTGATAATTTCGAGAATTTCACGCGACTTTTTGATGTTTGTAAAAACAGTGCAATCTTAATTAGATCTCTTCCTTGAAATAAAACATGAAATTCTGTTCTTTAAACAGAGTGAAATAAGTGTTACTGATAAGAAGAATCATCTGTGCAATAGAGGATTTTCATTCAAAATATCCCAATCATACTAGTAGAATA